GATTTGAAAAGAATAAAACTATTGTATAATTTTTACCCTTTCTCACAATCAGAGTTATTGAGAAGCTAATGAAGTTAAAGCTTTAGAACCTCTTCTGAGGCCCCAGCAGAGACCCAGCAATGCGCTCGGTCATGTTTTATGGAGTTCGAAAGAGTAAGGTATTTTAAAATTCTTTTTCTTAAAGAATCTCCCCCCCCAGAAATTGTATAAGCTTCAAGTCCCCAAATCTGGATCTACTTCTGCCTCCATTGGGTCCTAGCTGTTTCAGTAACCAGTTGTCCATGTTTAGCTCATTTCATCCTTGCAACAACTCCATAATGTAAATATTGTTGTCATCACAATTTACTGATGAGGAAACTGAGCTTTGAGAATAGTCATTGCCCAGATTCTTACAGTTAGGAAGTGGTAGGGCTGGGATTTAAACTCAGTAGCCAGGCCGGGCACAGTGGCTCACACCTGTAATTCCAGCACTCTGGGAGGCCGAGGTGGGAGGATCACTTGAGGCCAGGAGTTTGAGGCCAGCCTGGGCAAAATAGCAAGACCCTGTTTCCACAAAAAGCTAAAAAAATCAGCCAGGTATGATGCTAACTGGTGCATGCCTGTAGTCCTAGCTACGTGGGAGGCTAAGGTGGGAGGATCACTTGAGCCTAGGAATTAGGGGCTGCAGGAGCTATTATCACACCACTGTACCCCAGCCTGGGTGACAGAGTGACATCTTGTCTCAAAAAAATAAAATAATAATAATAAATAAATAAACTCAGTAATCTGTCTCCAGAGACCAGACCTTTAACTCCCTTAACTACAGCGCTTTGCAATGGTATATATTTGTTTTTCTTGTCCACTTTCCCCACTAACTATGAAGTCCCCAGGGACACAAAGACAAGTCATTTCTATATACTCAGCATGCAGCCCAGGAGAGACATCACCATATATTGGTATATAAGAAAGAGAAAAGCAGCTCACGACCTCCAAGAGCCAGGCTGACACTCACAGCTGAGCCTTGGCCTTCTCCTGTTCAACATAAACAATTTCACAGAAAATCAACAGCAGACAAGGCCACTTTGTGACCGTGAAGGATCAAGACACAAATAAGACCACTCCATAATGATGTCTGAACACAGACCTAAAAAAAGGACATTGTCCAAGTCACAAAGAAGACCAACCATCCCCCATCCTTGCTAATATGAGAGACTGTTGGTTTTCACCTGTGACAGCTTTAGCCTTGGCCAAGTCTTTCCTCCTAGATAAACTTTATTAAGACACCCAGTCATAGAATTACCCTGCTCTTGACGGTATCCAATCCAAAGCCAAGCCCTGCTTCCTTAATTATCTAACAAAAGCCCAAATTCTGTAAGTAGTTCTTTCTTACACCGTCTTACTGACACGACCGCATGCATCCCTGCGACATGCATCCTCGCTTGCTGCAATGAATGACAAATACAACTTGTTTGATTACAGGTGTGTTCCTGGTGGTCTTTGACTGGAATGGCATTGACACGAGTATCATCCACTGATGGATCGTTGAGCATAAAATTTCACTGTCGAAAGTTACATGTTGCCGCCTAAAACTAGCTGATGATGGGAGCAGGAAAAAGTGGTTCCTTATGGAGGATGGAGGGCGGTTGATTATAAACTGAGAAGGCATCCTTTTGGGGTATTAGAAATGTTCTACATTTTGAACTAGGTGGTAGTTACAACCCATGTTTTTCTTAAAAAAATCAAGCTGTATACTTAAGTTTAGTGCATATTACATACTTTATTGTATACCTATTATACCTTGATTAAAAAAGTGTCATCCATTAACTTCAGCAAATAGTGGGGGCACAAGGAACTCAAAGCTGGTCACACAGTCACTGAAAGTCACTGACATGAAAAAAATCTTTTAAATATATAAAAAAATAAAAAACAGAGCTAGTCACCCCAATACCAACTTAAAGTACTTTAGCAACAAGGAAAAGGCTGGAGTCAGTGTGGCAGCTGACGAGAAGGGAACCTCAGGCTATTGGAGGATGAGATCTATGATGAAGAGGCTAGAAAATCAACCACTTGCTGAAAATTTAAAGACATTTGGGTTGTTTATCCCAGAAGAGACTAGATCAGAAATGTAATTGAACTCAACTATTTTATTTTGCAATAAAATTAGGACCTAGGAAAATCTTCCTAACAGTGACAAAGGTGGTAAAGGAGGCTGTGACAGCCCCATCCCTGCGGAATTTTAAACCCAGTGGCCAGCAAATGGCTCCAGCGTGGCCTGGTCTGGGAGCAGGAGCCTGGAAGAAATAATCTTGAGCTGTCCCTCCGGTGACCAGGAGCTCTGGTTTGGCGCGGGTGCTCTGGCCAGCTGCACGGCACCAATTAATTAGCCAAAGGGAGCTGCTCTCTGATCTGCACTAAGCTTTTTATGTTCTGTGGTCACTGCCACCAACCACAGCTTTGATTAGATCTGGAGCTTAATTATCACAGTGTGGTGCTGCCATCACCTCTCCTGATGACTTTGTCTTGGCTCCTGGAAGGATGGGGTGGTGACAGTGTGCCAGGAGGACAGTGTGCAGGGGCTCCGGACACTGGCGATTTGGGGGGACATGAAGTGGGTGGGTGGAGAGAGCTGCTGTAGGACTCAGCACCTCACCTCAAGGAGCTCAGGAGTTGTTGGAGAACTGAGACCTTCAACCTAGTAAATGGCACAGGGTTGTGGGGGTAAAGCCTCCAAATGACAGGGACATACAAACGTCCCAGCAACTGAAAGTAGGCAGAGGTCCTTCAGCACTGGAGGGTTCAGGGAAGCTTCACGTAGAGGGAGGACCTAGAGGAACTTTAAAGGAAGAACAGGATTGCCCAGCCCGCCAGGCAGGGCAGAGGACCTAGCGGTTCCCTAGCGGAGGGAACGATGAGACCTGACGCATCCTGAGACGGTGAGGAGGTCCACGGAGCTGGGCGCAGGGCAGGGTCGAGGAGGGGGATTCCTGTTAGAAAGTCACACAACCAACACTCCTGCTGGGGGAGGGGGCAGGTTGGGGAGGACCTGGAATGCCAGGCTAAGAAATTGAGACCTCCTTCAGCAGGCAGTAGAGAGCCACTGAAAGTGTTTGAGCTGCCTGAATGATCCAAATTTCTTCTTTCTTTCTCTCTTCCTTTTTTCCTCCCTCCCTCCCTTCCATCCTTCCTTCCTTTCTTTCCTTTCTTTTCACATGGTGTATTAGTTTCCTATGTTTGCTGTAACAAATTACCACAAACGTGGCTTAAAACAATAGACATTTATGCTCTCAGAGCTCTGGAGTCCAGAAATCCAAAATCAAAGTGTCAGCTGGGGCACACCCCTTCCGGGCCCTCAAGGGGAGAATCTGTTCCTTGCTGAGGTTCTGGCTGCTGCCCACATTCCTTGGCTTGTGGCCACATCACTCTGATCTCTGCCTCTGTAGTCACCCCATTTCTCTTCTGTTTTGGGTTTGTTTGTTTGTTTTTGATCCAGATTTCTTATGGAAGTTTACAGGACTCTTGCGGATGGGGCCCTGCCTGCCTCCCCAGGTTTCTCTCCCTCCATTGCACCCCTCACACTCTGCTCCAGCCAGCACTTAACTTACCATACTGTGTCTGAAACATTCTGTAACTGGCTCCCTGATCAAAACGCCTTTTTGCAGTTCTCTTATGTTTCAAGTTCCCAGGCCAGTCAGATTTGCTGACCAGAACTTTGTAATTTTCTTTTTCACTAATCCCCTCCCTTTTGAGTTGTTTTTCAGAAATGGGGGACCCTCCTTGCAGTAATGAGATAATCACAAGGCTTTACACTACCCAATTGTCCAGAGAAGTCAAGATAAGTGGCATTGCACCACAAATCCTGCCCAAGGACCCGCTGAGCATCCTACTCCCTGCAACATATATGCCTACAAGAGAAAAGGGTGATCAATATTAACACCTAGCTCATTATACTACTAAAATCTCCACCCTGGGAGAGGCTTATCCACCATTTTTTGCTCATGCAATGTATGTGCCAGTATGATTTCTCACTGTAGTGATGCTCACTCACTTCATGCATTATTCATTTCACCTCTAGAAAAACCCCGGACCCCATCAGCTGGAGAGGCAGGCGGATTTGAGGTTGTCCTCCCACCTCCTGGTTGACGTTCTGCACAATAAAGCTCCTTTCCTCCTTGGCAATCCTCATTGTTTCAATAATTGGCTTTCTGTGCAGCGAGTAACACAGAGAACCTCCCTTGCGGGTTCCTTAACAATTCCACACACTCTCTGTACTCCCGGCTAAGTCGGTTCCTTCAGGTCTCAATTTTAACATCTCTTTCTCTAAGAAGCCTTGCTGACACTGCCCCACACCTGGGCAGGTGTCCCTTCCAAGGTTCCAACACTTGCTGTGTCTCCCACACTAGGTCACATATCAGTGTGTTGTAATTATTCATTCGTCTGAATTCTCTGCTAAACTGTGAATCCTGTTGAGGTTAGGGAGGGTGTCTTGTTCATCAGTGTCGCTAAGAACCAGCATCAGGCAGCAAAGCGGGGGCGTGGATGCGGATCAGCTGACCTCTCAGGTTCCTCCCTGTTCCCGGCCAGTGAGTCTTTTGCTAAGAACAATGGAAAATCACAGGTGTCAACAAGTGCAAGCTGGAAGGGCATGGGCCCTTAATTTGAATGATCAGTCTTATATTCTCACAGGAAGCAAAGTGTAGGGGAACACAAAACAAGCTCCGACCACCTCCCCATTTCCCTGAGAATAAAGTGAAGCCATTGCTAGGCACGCCCGAGAACTATTTGAGGAACACTGAGGCGGAGGGTTACTAACGAGATTGAACAGTAACCCTCCGCTCGAGACCTGTAATCGTGTCTGTTCCTCCTCAAGCCACCAGGGGGAGGAATCGCACCGCATTCCTGACCCTTGGGCGGTTTCATGCACCCACCCACGGGAGTCGCGTAGAACTCTGGGAATTGTAGTCCTAGGGTTGTGATGCACAATCTCGCACCTCGGGAGTTGTAGTTTTCGATAGAGAGGCAGAAAATGCTTTTAAGTGCTCATAGTGAGCCCCGGAAACTACAACTACCAAAGGGCCACGGGTTCTTGGGCGGTTTCTCGTTTCCGTCGAGTTAAACGTCGGGGGCTGCTTCTGAGGGATCAACTTGACTGGGTAAGTTTGACTGGAGAAAGCTCCTATCCTCAACTGAGCTGTCTGCAGACTTTTTCGTATTCCGGCCCAGTTTGGGGCCTCCTCGTCTCTCACTCGCAGGACCTGCACATTAATCTTCGTCCTTTCTGTCTGTGGAGACACCTCCAATGTCCACCCACACCCTTAACCCCCCTACTGCCGCCTCGCGCTTTCGCTCCCGGCGTCCCTGGAATCCCACCCTGGGCTCTCGTCTCAGGACCCAGCCCCCGCAGCTCCATCCCGAGCCCGCAGCCCCACGCTGGACCCCACAGCCTCACCCTGGTCGCTCTGCCCTTCCCTGATCTGCAGCCTCACCTCCCTGAACCTGGGCTTCCTTATGCTCCTCCACACCTTGTGCGCTTCCGTCTTGCTCTCATTTTCTTGTTTTTCACACCGGTGGAGGAAGGGTCCTCATTCCTTCTTCCCGATCCACGGAACAGCCGTGGACTTGAAGTCAGCAGACCCGGATCTAGTCCAGCTCTGCCTCTCACTCTGTGACCTTGGGCAAATCCTACAACTCTGGGACTCACTCTCCGTCTCTAAAATGGAGACGTCAGTTGCTCCATCAGTACTTAGGGTGAGGTTGTGTGCAGAGCCAATTAGCTAGTATGTGTGAAGGTGCTTTGTAAACTGTAAAGCCTCCACAAGTGACAGAGATTATTTTTTATTACAATTATTAACGCTCAATTATTAAGAGCCCTTACAGGGGCTCTTTTCTAGCTCTGCTACCTTGTTGCTCAAACCGATCCCTCGAGTGCTTCCTTCGCTAAGAGCAGGGTGAGATTTCCTCACTTCCTCCAGAGAACAAAAGGTCAGACCAGTGAGCTCTTAGACTCCAGAGAGCTTTGTGTGAAAGGAAGCACCGGAGAAGTGCTTATCTTGGACTCTGTCCTGAAATATCCAGTGATGAGAGGCCCATACAGCTGGCAGAGGGGCAGTCCCCTGCCCACTAGAAACAGAACCCCAGCAGGAGAGGACAGCTGCAGTGTAAGCCCCATCCATTCCCTCTGGGCTCTTCTAGGCCGGTTTAGTAGACTCTGGCTTTGGTGGGGACGCCTCAGGCCTGAAAAGGCTGGAAGGAAAGAATCCGTTTTGCCAAAGGGTTTAATCCAGAAAAAATGAAAGAGACCTTGGCTGGGTATGATGAAAGAGAGATTTAGCATTGCTAATTAGTTCCTGACATTTTCTGAGCCCTTAAAATGTACCAGACCCTAGGCAATGTCAGTTTTCTTTTTTAAATTTCACTTAGGTAGTGTCCCCATTTTACATATAAGGAACTTAAAGAGGTCATGTAGTTAGTTAAAATAATTATAGCTACCTTCTACCAAAACTGGTGCCTTCTGTGCTGCAGGTACTTTGCATACATTATTTAATCTGCATCACCAACCTCATGAGTAGTTATTTCTATCATGCGGATAAATTATCAGAGGTTTAGAATTTAAGGAACTTGCTCAAGATCACACAGCTAACGAAAGTGGCAGAGTCACTAAAGCCTTTCTCTTCCCACTATACTGTGTAGCTTTATTTTTAGATCAGAATGACAGAGACTAAATAAAAATTGAGATGGTTTAAATCAAGGCCAAATGAAGGAGCATTCGAGTCCCTACTATGTGGGGAAAGTATGTGAATAGATGGTTTGGCCTACAAAGAAGTATAAAACAATCATTACCACTGGAGTATATCTGAAGAGAAGGCATAAATGTGTAAGAAATTAAATAGTATTCATTGGATAAATTAATTATTGAGAACAACTTTATACAGAGCACTGCATTAAGTCTAGTGGCTGGGTGGCCATGGGGATCATCCCAAGTGAAATCATAATCACCATTTTCATGATTTTTAATGGCCAGAACACAGTATACACTAAGTGTTTGTTACATGCACACATGTCTGAATAAAAGTCCTTTGTACCATCTGGACCAGAGGTTCTCAAACCTTGCTGATCAGAAACACCTGGGAAACTTTTAAAAACTAATTGACCTCTGGGAATAGGGACCCTAGAATATACATTTTTGAAAAATTTCCCAGGTCGTTGTATTGATAGGTTCGGGAACCTCTGACCTAGATTCTACATGGACCACTGTTGCAGGCAAGTCACTGATTGAAAACTTCTAGAATGGGTACTAATGCAAGAGCTGCCCTAAGACAGCCTGTGATTGGTTACCAGATGAGGGATGTGGACGGTGCTCAGAGGCAGGAGGAGGAAAGGCTGGAAGGACTTGGGAAAGCTTCAAAGAGGACTAGAGGTTTCCATGGCCTCGAATGATGGAGAGGCTTCTAGGCAGGCACCACCATGAATTGTTTAGACAAAGTGAGCAGAAGAAGGTAAGACACATGGACTGATTTCCTTGGTAAATTCCATGGAATTTTCCATTAGAAATGGCTCTGGATGCTGTGTGAATGCCTCTTAGGCAAAATTTGCAAGTTAGATTGGATTTTCCCATCTTCCCATCCTACTTGAGCGTCAGTCAATGTGAGCCTAGTGAACACAGATTCATTCTTGTGTTAGCCTCACTCTGGCCAATTAGCTTCTTTAGTTTTTATTAATTTCCAAACAGAGTTTAGTGGATGACCCTCCCAGAAACTTGCCAGGGGCACCAGAGAGTTCTGCCCTCCTGTGTGGCTGTTTTCAAGTCCACTGATCCCGATTGCCATCCTGAGCACTGCTCTCTGTGCAGGGTGAGACAAAAATCTCTTCCCATGAGAAGCTTAAGGACTATTGTCTGGTTACCCGATCCCTGAAATCTGACTCATCTTTTGGCTCTTTTCTCTCTCTGGACTCTCCACGTCCACTCAGTTGCCAAATCCTGCTCCGTTGTTCCTGCTTTTCTCTCAATCAATAAATATTTCTTGGATTCTTCTTAAAAGCCTAGTACTACACTAGGTGCTTTAAATGCATCATTTCACTTTATCTCCATAGCAACCCTGTGAGGATGGATAGTATTCCCACTGTACAGATGGGGAGTCAGGCTTAGAGAGATCAGATGACTTGCCCGCGGTAAGAAAGCCAGGCAGCAAGAGCTGTGCCTCACCCAGGGTAACAAAGCCAGGCAGCAAGAGCTGGGCCTCAAGCGTGGCTCTTTCAGACTTAGTATTTCTTACCTCCATGACCTCATTTCCAGAGTAGATTCCAGCTCTTTAGCCCAGCACTTGAGGGACTGCTACCCTCCAAATCTGGTCTCCTTGTGTCCTGTTTCTCACACATGCTTTTTTGTTACTGTGCCTTTGCTCACTACTGACTTCTGCTTGCATGCATGCCGGCCTCGCTCACACCTTCCCCTGCCCTCCACCCTCAAGCTACAGGAGCACTCCTTCTCAGAACTCCTGCAGTGTTTTGTCTGCTTCTCTTTTATGACAGAACTTGCAGCTGCTTCATTGTCATGTAGGTGATGTATGCCATGTGGGTGACACATCTTGTGGCCCCAGCTGTAGGTCTTCAGTGTGTATACCCTAACAGCAAGGAGGAAAAGGTCAGGGTCGGAGGCCAAGTGGCGCTCATCCAGCTTGACTCTGGCTGGACAATCTACTGCCTGCATCAGGAGCTTAGCTTCTTTTTTGAAAAAGAATTGGCTTTGTTTTTAAATTTTGCTTCAGAGAAACAAAATGAAGAAGTTAAGTCTGTAGTAAAAAGAAAATCATTTATTATCTTCCAAAGTTAAATCGAATGACATTATGGTTATTTGGGGTTTTCCATTGGACCAGACAATTGGCAGTTGGCAATCGGGAGATCTGTGTGTTGTAATAACAGTTCTGCTTGTATCCTTGAGCAGCTCACTTAATCTCTCCGGACCTTGGTTTCTTCATCAATGAAGTGCATGTATGTACTAGGGGGAGGGGAAGGGGATTGTGGGGAGTATTGACAGAAATAGTCTCTAAGTCTCTTCTTGCCCAGACATGCTTTGACTTGAACTCCCTGATCCCTCCTGGAGAATCTTAAAGGAAGCACAATAATTTAATGATTAATAATGTGGGCCCAGGACTCAGTGTATCCATGTAGATGCTTTTGGTTATAAGCAACAGAAATCTTTTTTTTTTTTTTTTTGAGACAGAGTCTCGCTCTGTTGCCTGAGCTAGAGTGCCGTGGCGTCAGCCTAGCTCACAGCAACTTCAAACTCCTGGGCTTAAACAATCCTTCTGTCTCAGCCTCCTGAGTAGCTGGGACTACAGGCATGCACCACCATGCCCGGCTTATTTTTTCTATATATTTTTAGTTGTCCAGCTAATTTCTTTCTATTTTTAGTAGAGATAGGGTCTTGCTCTTGCTCAGGCTGGTCTCAAACTCCTGAGCTCAAGTGATCCTCCCTCCTCGGCCTCCCAGAGTGCTAGGATTACAGGCATGAGCCACTGCGCCCGGCTATAAGCAGCAGAAATCTAAATTCAGTTCATATAAACAAGGAAGGCAATGTATTGATTCATGTAACTAGAAAGTCTAAGAGTGGGTCAGATTTCAGGTATGGTCTAATCCATGGATTCTTAATGTCTTCACAAACGTGACTCCATTTCTCTGTGATTCTCCCAGCTCTGCTATCCACCATGGTGGCAAAGTTCAAGGCAATGGTTCAAAGCCACTTGACAGGTGACATCTGCACATCACACTAGTTCAAAACAAGAGAGAACTTTTCTCTCCTCCACTATCGAACCAAAGTTCTGGGCTTTACTCTTCTTGGACCAATTTAATGTCATATGTCCACTCTTCATCCAAATACTGACCAGCAGATAACAAGGACTGATTGGCTCAGGTTAATTGAGGCCCAACTCTAGAAGTTAGGGAGCGGTGAACCCCACCCAAATCACAAGGCGATGGATCCTAGGAAGTTTGACCACATTCCCCAGTTACGGTCACGTTGCCCATGATCAAATTCTGGCTGTGCTTGCTGTGTGTTCCTGGGTAAATTACTTACCTTTATCAAGCATCAGTTTCCTCATCTGTAAAATGAGATAATAATACATATCTCAGAGGATTGTTGTAAGGATTAAATTAAATAATACATGTAAAGCACTTAGAATAGTTCCTGGCACAGAGTAAGTGTGATGATGATGGTGGTGTTGGTGCTGATGAAATTGAAGAGGGCTAGGGAGCAATGACACTAGCCTCAATTTAGGAGGCAGCTAAGAGAATGGTCTAGCCAGAAGTGTGCTCACCTGTCACGTTAAGGCTCCTGTTTGATCTACTGCCCACATCATACTCTTCCCTATCTCTGCCTTTCTTTGCTCTTACGTGTTGTCTGGAAGTGCTTTCCTCTCTCTCCCCTGCCTCTCTAAACCTCCTCATCGTTCATGGCCTAGCACAAGTGCCACCTTATAATCAATGGTCTAGGTCAGTGACTTCGCATGTGTGTAACTGAGTCTCCCCATGAGCAAGATCAGTAATGGTCAAGAGCTCTCAGCTTCTGGATTAGACACACCTGGGTTTGCCACCTGTTTGCAGGGTAACTTGGGAAAGTTACTCAACCTCTCTGTCCTTAGTTTCTTCATCTGTAAAACAGGGTCTTAATAGTACCTACCTCAAAGAGCTGTTGAAAGAATGAAATGATGCAATGTATGTAGAGGGCTTAGGACAGTGCTGACAGTCACTTACAGATCTTAGTGGTTACTGTCAGCCTCACGAGGACAAGGTCTGTGTTATAGTCTCTGCAGCAGTCAGTGCTGTGCTGGGCACGTAGTGGGTGCTGATAAACACTTGTAAGTAGGTTTTAAGGAGTGTGGATGCTCTCTCCCTTCTTCACAACCATCTCCTCACCCCACCAAAAAAAAAGTCCCCTATAAACCGTGGCAAAGACAAAGTAGAGGGTGTGCAAGATTTAATGAGTGATGGACAGGGAGGATGGAGTGGTAAGGAAGGTGGACAGGGGTGGCACAAGCCACAGGAAGCCAAGAGGAAACCAGCAGGAGGCTGTTCTATGTTCTGCCCTCCAGACATCAAGTTCAGCACCGCCCAAGTCATTGGATTCACCTGTGATGAAATGGGGGTCAACCAGTCCGTGGGGTTTCCACCTGTCACAGGACCCCACCTCGTAGGCTGCGGGGATGTGATGGAGGGTCAGAGTCTCCAGGTGAGTGTCTCTACTGCTTCTGCCTGCACTGTGACTTAATGATCACAAGTCTGATTGTGCAATTCCATGTGGGGGAAACTGAGTTAGAGCTGGTCTGGATTTGGTTACCAAACCCCCACGTCTGTCTTTCCTGACCTAGTTCTTCCTCTTTCCACATACTAGAAACATCCTAATAGACAGAGATGGTGGGCACTTTTTCCAGCCACGAGGAAAGAGGGACTCTAGCTTACAAGGCAGCTCGCAGATCTTCTCACCTGGTTAAGGGCAGATGCCTGATCCTGGAAAGGTTTTCGATCTCATCCTAACCAAGTATGTGAGAGGAAGAGCATGGGCCCACATGCCATTGGCCTTGGGCTCCCCAGACTGGGTAGGAGGACAGTTCCTTTTCTCCTTTCCTGCCTCCTTCTGTTTTCCTCTCCTGCTTTGGCTTCTGGACTTGCCCTCCATCAGTTCCTAGATCTTTCTCTGCTAGCCCGTGGACTCCCCCTGGTGAGAGGCACACGCTTCCCAGTAACCCTTCACCGACTCCCATGTAAAATGGGTGTGCCGCTGCTTCCCGAGAGTCAAGCTTCGCTGAGTGGCTGGGTGAGCCTCCGATGCCACCCTGTTCGGCACAAGGGCTAATCTCTAGCTCAAGGCCAAATCTAAATCTTTCAGTGTCCCAAGCACTCAATATATTTTTGGTGCATCCCCCGGATGTAATCAAAATATAGTTGGCTATTTGACATAACATAAGCTTTACACGTATGCTTAAAAATAAAATTGCTTCTGGATTTCTGGATGTAAAATTCAGGTATGTTAATTGAAACTTAAGTTTCTCTGTCTTGGTGCCCCGTTTTGCTGGAGCCCCAATACCTGCTGAGTGTGTCTGTCGGGAAATCTGGCAGTGCTTGGGCTTCTTGCTCTGAGCAGCTGCTCTCTTCTTTCCTACAGGGGAGCTTCTTTCGACTCTTCTACCCCTGCCAAGAGGCAGAGGAGACCACGGAGCAGCCCCTGTGGATTCCCCGCTATGAGTACTGCACCGGCCTGGCCAACTACCTGCAGTTTAATAAGCGCTGGGGGGGGCTGCTGTTCAGCATGGCTGTGGGTAAGGGCTGGCCTGACCCCCAGATGCTTTCCCAGACACTCCCTTATAGCTTGCAGTGTCCAGCCCTGTTGTAGGGGGGCATCTGTCAGCTACCACGGTGTGGGGAGTTGGGAGAGAATTACATACATAAGAGCTTGGGATAGCAAGTTAGACTCTTCTGGATTTGAATCAAGACTTTATAATTTACTAGCTGTGCAGCTTGGGCAAGTTACTTAACCTGTCCGAATAACTGCCTTTGCAAGGTCGTAGTGTCGGATGTATGTAAAGCCTCTTGCCGTGCATGGGACATGGAATGTGTTCCATAAGTGGTACCTATTACTCATTTATTCAGCATGTAGTATTTCCCGCTCTGTGCCAGCTACTGTGTGTATCACAGAAAGAGTCTTAACTATCAAGGAACATTCAGTCTCCTGCTGTTCTCTCTCCGGTGCCCTCTCTTCTGGGTGTGGTAACATTGAATCATGCACTTCCCCCAAAGTCCCCGCCCCTAGGAACTCTACCCACTGCCTTGGCATCTCAGTGGTTGACCCCAGGGTCGCTCGTACTGCCCCTTTGATTTGTCCTCCCATTTTCTTTCTTTTTTTTTTTTTTTGAGACAGAGTCTCACTCTCTTGCCTGGGCCAGAGTGCCGTGGCGTCAGCCTATCTCACAGCAACCTCAGACTCCTGGGCTCAAGCGATCCTCCTGCCTCAGCCTCCTGGGTAGCTGGGACTACAGGCATGTGCCACCATGCCCAGCTAATTTTTTCTATTTTTAGTTGTTTGGCTAATTTCTTTCTATTTATAGTAGAGACGGGGTCTCGCTCTTGCTTAGGCTGGTCTCGAACTTCTGAGCTCAAGTGATTGGCCCGCCTCGGCCTCCCAGAGTGCTAGGATTACAGGCGTGAGCCACCGTGCCCAGCCTGTGCTCCCATTTTCTATTGTGTTCACTCTTTCCAGGGAAGAAAAGGGGAAAGAATGGGTGATTGATTGCCCTGGGCTGCTCAGGGGCCCATGGTGGTTCTCTAAGGGGAGGAACACATGTCCCCATGCATGCCTGTCCTCCAGCAGCCCTTGGCATTACAGCTTTGGGGCAGCTAGAGTTTCTACAGCCCACGTCTTTTCTAGGATCTTGTCGCCTGCCTGTTAGCTGGAATGGCCCATTTAAGACAAAGGACTCTGGATACCCCTTGATCATCTTCTCCCATGGCCTGGGAGCCTTCAGGTGAGAGCTTCTCTCCCCCAGACCTTGCCATATTCCTTGCCTAGTGACGGCTGTAGAGTCTTAACTTACTCTCAAAGGGCAGAAAAACAGACATCTCCATCTGCTGGCTGTCTTATCTCCCATCTGCCTCATTCCATAGCACTGGGGCCACCTTCTCCGGAAGGTCCTTCCCAAGCCACTTTCACCTGGTGGAGCCTTTCGGCAGCCTTCGCTTCCTTCCCTTCTCATGTTCCAGCATTTACATAAATACATTTTCAGCTTTCTTCCTCTGTAACAGCCCAGAAGTTTAGAAAGAGCATGAGCTTTGTAGTTGGAGAATTATCTATTCTTTTTTTTTTTTTTTTTTTAACTATCCCCTCCTCTACTCTGAAGGAAGAAAATTATCTATTCGGTGTTTGCTGAGGGCCTACTAGAGAGTAGTGAGTAAGACAGACTTGCTTCCTGCGCTTATGGAGCTAGCAACCTAACCTACAAATCTCAGACACACCGCCTGTGCTCCGTGCGAGCTTGGGAAAGTTGTATAACCCTCTGAGCCTTGATCTCATCATCTGTCGGATGGAGATGCTGCTCCCACAGGGTGGATTCAGTTCTATTGGCACCTGCTGGGTGTACACCCATGTCACTGCCCCTCTCTCTTTTTTACATAGAGGGATATAGTGATGCTAAACTGTAGAATCTCTTTTACCAGACTTTGGGAAACCTTGCCCTGAGTTGCATAATTCAGTGTCCATTCAAAATTCTTCCCATGAATTCTGATTCCTATACCTTGGCCTATTATGTAGCTTAATACCCATAGTACATGTGTTCCTACTTAAGCTTGCGAATGTTCTGTCTGTTCATCCATCAGCATATATGTCTCATTTATGTTCCAGAACGTTACACATTTCAAAAACATCTATTTTTTCCTCTCCAGCCCCCAAACCATTGTCCACACTGTAGCCAGGGAGATCTGTTTTAAAACCAAATATAATCTTGTCATTCTAGCACCTAGAGCAGTGCCTGGTATATAATAGGTACTCAATAATATTTGTTGATGAATGTCCCTCCCCTACTTAAAACTTTTAAAGTTTTTAAATTTTTTTTTTTAAGATACAAGGTCTTACTATGTTGCCCAGGCTGGAGTACAGTGGATAAAAATTTTAATAGTTCTTTGAACTTATCTTAATTCTTTTCCTGGTCATACCTGGATGCAGGTCCAAGACAAAGTTTCCAGCTTCTTTTCTTGCTACTTGCCCCACTCCAGCTCTCCAGACAGACTGACTTCCTTTCACTTAGTTACAGGCACCGTGTTATTTCCTGCCTTGAAGTCCTCATCTGTTCTCTGCTTTGTGGCTTTGTGTTCCCTTTGCCTGGAATATTCGCTCCTCTGCTCTCCTTTTCCTGCCCCCCCTCTGCTTTTGCCTAGCTAATTCCAAATTACCTTTAACGTCTCAATTTAGATATCGCTGTCTTAGGGACATGCATCCCGACCCCTATATTACATTAGATTAACTTTTCCAGTCATATGCTTTCATAGGACAGTCTGTACTTCTCAGTATTCAACGTAATAGTGATGAATTACTTATTTGTGTACTTATTCTCTAATGTCTGTCTTCCCCACTAGATTATAAGCTCCATAAAGGCAGAGACCTGTCTTCTGTTGCTCCAGTGCCTAGGACAGTGCCTGGAAAGTAGTAGTTTCCCAGTAAACATTTACCGAGTAAATACAAGGGCTGTGTTCTGCTAGGTTCTTATTCATTCAGCAGACATCTGTGGAGCACCTCCTCTGTGCCAGCCCCTTGGCAGGAGAGGAAGCCGGGACATACAGAGAGAAATAAACCAAGGAAATTACATCTGCTAGAGGAGCCAAGTGTAAATTCACATAGCTATAGCCCATGGCAGGAAGTGGAGAGTAGATGTGGAGATGAGGCTAGAAGGGCAAGTAGGTGGTTTTTCATGTTGCTTTCATATTCAGTAAATTGAGTACCTGCTGTGTGCTAGGGCTGTGTCAGGGTAGGACTTTGAGTAGTGAAGAAGATAGAGTTCCTGACTTCAGGAAGATTATAGTCTAGCAGGGAAAAGAAGCTAAGGAACATTCTCTCCTAAGCTCATAGACATTTATAGAGAGAGCAGGTGAGCACATGACTTTGGAGGTGGTCTTTTTGGTTTAAGAATCTGTATTGAGACTTCACACTTCATTAGATCTGGTGAGCCAGTTATATTCTTCATTAACCAGAGTGAAGTTCCAAGAAAAAGGGAAGGGAGAGTAAGGGATATTGTTTCCTCTTATTGCATCTATGGTTAATATGGGCTCTGGAATTCTTCCTATGGGTCATAGACCTATGACTTTCCATCCCAGGGAAGAATATGTGCATTTAAATAGTACCTAAGTGTTAGCCATATGCCATTGTCACATTTGGTTCCCACAGAGCCCTGTGAGGTAAGCAGGAGGGGCTGCATAGTTTTCAGATGAGCAAACAGGCTCTGAAACGCAGACTTTCCCAGGTCACACAGTTAGAACTGGGAAGGGGTCAGATATCTCTCTGGCTCTTCAATCCAGTTCATTGCCTCCCCTGGAAAAGTGGGAGAGGTGAAAAGAAACTTAAGAAACTGACCTTCCTGTGTCAATTAGGATTTGGGCAAGTTGTAGTTAACAGAAAACTGCCAAATAATAGTGACTTAAACATGATAAAGTCTATTTCTCTCTCAGGTAAAGATAGCTAGAAGGTGACAGTTAGGGTTGATATGGTAGTTCCATGAAGTTATCAGAGAACTAGACTTCTTTTAAAATCTTGATCTGCCATGGGTGGCTCCCATTTCTAAGGATACGTCATGACCCAGGGTAGCTGCTGTAGTTCTAGCCATTACATCCACAGTCCAGGCAATAGGAAGGGAGCACTCTTCATTTTAAGGACATTTCCTGAGAGTTCTATGTGACACAACTGCTTATATCTCATTGGCTAGAGCTGCTCTGTCCATCATAGTATCTTCTAGGTACCTGTGGCTATTGGACACTTGAACTGTGGCTGGACCAAACTGCAATACGCTGCAAGTGTTATCAAAATATACACCAATTTCAAAGACTTCATATTTTTAAAAAAGAATATAATAAAATATTTCATTAAGGTTAAAATTGATAATATATTGTAATTATATTTTAGCTATAATGGGTTAAATAAAATATAATATTAAAATTAATTTTAACTGTTTCTTTTTGTTTTTTAAAAGATGTCTACTAGAAAGTTTTAAATTACTTACAAGGGTAGCATTATATTTTTGTTGGACCGTGCTGGGCTAGAGCTTAACCACACAGACAAACCTGGCTGCAAGGGAGGCGAGGAAATGCAGCATGTCAACGGCATGACAGTGGCTTCAGCTGAAAATGCTATTGTTAAGAAGGAAGGGAAAAATAAATGTTTGGAGTAGGCAATTAGCAGTGTCTCCCGTATTCCTTTTTTTTCCTAGAAAGCTGGCAGGCAGACCAAAAAAAATCACAGATGAGTTGCTTATTAAAGAAATAGCCAGAGTCTCTGTCCTCAAGGAGATTACCAACTAAATTGGGAGGTGTACAATATATAGACAATAAAAATGCAATTGAAGTAGCCAAAATATGTTGGAGGCATGGGGCTGAGCTGACTCAGTGTTTGTATGGGGTTGGAAGACACCGCGACAGATTTGCAGATACTTCTGGCGGCTGGCTGGAGCGAGCACCTGGAGGCGGGCTGCCCTCCATGAACCTCCTCCATTCAGTCTTTTGATCCCTTCTCCCTGTTCCATCTCTAGGACATTGTATTCAGCCTTCTGCATGGAGCTGGCCTCCCATGGCTTTGTGGTTGCTGTGCTGGAGCACAGGTGAGGGATGACAGTCATCATGAACTGTCATGAATTGGGTACCTGCAGTGAGCTAGGATATAAGCTAGTTCCCTACCAATGTATTATTTCTAATCCTCCCAACAACCTTGCAAGGCAGGTAATATACCCATTTTAAGGAGGAGAAAACCAAGTTTCAAAAATGTTAAATAACTTGCCAAAAGTGACACAGCTGAGTTGGGATTCAAACCCACATATGTCTCTAAAATCCATGTTTTTCTACTCTCCTATGTATGCCACCAGACATCCTTCCCTACTGGCCAGCGGGGCAATCCAGAGTGTCTTGGCTGAAAGGGAGCAGTTGGTAAAGGGGAGAAATAAGCTCAAAAGTGTCTTCTGATTTCTCTCTGATGACGTATATATTTCAGGGACCGGTCAGCTGCAACCACCTATTTCTGCAAGCAGGCCCCAGAGGAGAACCAGCCCACCAACCAGTTGCTGGATGAGGAATGGATTCCTTACCGTCGAGTTGAGGAAGGGGAGAAGGAATTCCATGTTCGGAATCCCCAGGTAAGCTTGTGCCAATTGGGGAGGGGTAGTTAATAAGCCTGTCCTCTCTATATTATACTCACAAAGCAAGAATTTTAACTAACCCTCTCTCTTGAAATCTCAACCATACTGGGTCTGAGTTTGCCACATCAGTGCGAATGAATGGGGTATTAATTAAGACTCCTACAATTGCCGGTGACAGAAACCCAACTTGAGCTTGCTTAGGTGCAAAAGGGGATTGATTGGCTCATATAAGTAAACTGTAGGAAGAGCAAGACCACTGGAACCAGGCTCGAATGCCACCAGACCTTGCTCTTCACTCTCGTCTCTGTCTCTCTCCTGGTTGGTTGGTCTCATCTGCAAATGGGCTCACTTTCTAAGGTTAAAACCACAGCTCTTGACAGCTCTGAGCTTGCATATGTTCAGCCTTGTCATCTGAGAGAATAGGGCTGTTTTCGAGTTGCTTCCCCCAGTTCCCCAACCCAGGTATCAAGCTGCAGTTTGAAAAATCCTAGAGAGGGATCCCTGGCTTGAGGAAAAGTACCAAAATGGGAAGTTCCCACCGGAAATACATTGTTAGATTTGGAGATGGAGGGAGGGCAGTCTTCAAAAGGAAAGATTAACAGGAGAAGCAGGGGGTGGGGAGGATATAAGTGCTAGGCAGACAAAAATGATAGCTGTGTGCTTTAAATGGGCAGGTAGAATCCAGTACTGGATGGCTAATAAGAAGACTCTTAATTCCTTTTGTGTTCAACGTGCTTTCGCATCCATCATCTCATGGGATCCTCTTGACAACCCTGTGTGTAGAATATGAACAGTAGGGCTGATTCCATTATGCCGTTAGGTAGTGCTTACATGAGCTGCGAGGGAGCTGAGCCTTTCTCAGGATGTGGGGCCCACCGTGCTTGCTGAGATATGGGTGGGCAAACTATCCCTGCATTCTTCCTTGGCTCTGCAGGTGAGTGAGATTCTCACTGGGTGGTAAGGAGTGTTCTAGCTCCCACGGGGACTGTCTGTTGCAGGTGCATCAGCGGGTAAGCGAGTGCGTGCGGGTGTTGAGAATCCTGCAAAAGGCCGCTGCTGGGCAGACTGTCCTCAACATCTTGCCTGGTGGGTTGGATCTGATGACCTTGAAGGTATGGCAGCAATTGGTATGACCCAGAGCCCACTTATTCGTCAAGACTTTCTTGGTCACAAGTAACAAACCTAACTCACTAGCTTAAACCAAAAGAGAATATATTGGCTCATGTAACTAGGAAGACCAAAGGTAGACTTTAGGCTAGTGTAGTCAGATCCAGGGTCTCAGACATTATCATCAAAGCTCTGGCCCTCTTTTCTCCCTTCTCCTGCCCCAGTTTCTCTGTGCATATGTGGGCTTCATTCTCACCAGACCTTTAGGCAAGAAAGATGGTAATTAGCAGCTCAAGCTTGCATGTCAATTTACAGCTCCAGATTCAAATTTCTGTAGAGATGGGGGTCTCACTATGTTGCTCATAGGCTGGTTTTGAACTCCTGGCCTCAAGCAATCCTCCTGCCTCGGCCTCCCGAAGTGCTGGCATTACAGGCATGAGCCACCAAGCCGCCCCACAGCTCCAGATTTTTTTTTTTTATTTCAACATATTATGGGGGTACAGATGTTTAGGTTACGTATATTGCCCTTACCCACCCCTCCCCGCCTAAGTCCGAGTTTCAAATATGTCCATCCTTCGGGTGGTGCACATTGCACTCTTTGTGTATGGAAATACCCATCCCCTCCTCCCTCCCCCCTCCTCCCTCCTCCCCTCCCCCCTGCCCAACATCCAATAGATGTTATTCTTATATGTGTATTTATGTGTTGATCAGTTAATACCAGTTTGATGGTGAGTACATGTGGTGCTTGTCTTTCCATTCTTGGGATACCTCACTTAGTAGAATCACAGCTCCAGGTTTAAAAAGAAAAGAGAATTTGTTAGCTTCTACTAATCTGGGAAGGCTGTGGCCTGACTTGGGTCACATGCCCCTTCTGGGCCAGTGCCTGATTCAGAGGAAGAGCATATTCTGGTTGGCCTGCCTAGGTCATATACCCACTTCTGGGTAAGGGGATTGACGGCCCCACCAGGGCCAATGGAAAAAGGAGAGGTGCTTCATTCCACAAAGGAAGGGCTACTGAGTGGCAAACAGTCTGTGTCTACTCTAGGTGAATCCCTTCCTTTGAGGGAATCTCGAGAACCCTCCCAGAAAGATATGCAACCTTCCTGGCTATGGAATTTGGTGCCTTCAAAGGTACATTCTCCACCCCCCACTCCCACCGAATCTTTTTTCCCCATGATTTCAAAAGTAGCTCAGGCTCTGTTCAGAGAACCAAGAAATCACACAAAAGCATGAAGAAAAATGAAGCATTTGATTTTTTTCCTCCCAGTTCTTTTAAAATACATTAATAAGCCGGGCATAGTGGCACATGCCTATGGTCCCAGCTACTAGGAAGGCTCAGATGGGAGGATCACTTGAGCCTAGGAGTTCAAGGCCAGCCTGGGCAACATAGTGAGACTCCATCTCTAAAAAATTTTGATAAAATGTCTTAACATATATGTATATTTTTAAAAACAAAAATGATATGTAAGATGTTTTGTGGTCTTTTTTCACTTATCAGAACAGCATGAGTACCTTCTCATGCTAATTAATATTTTTCTGTGGCATGATTTTTAAAACTTAAAAAAAATTATTTTAGAGATGGGGTCTTACTATGTTGTTCAGGCTGGACTCAAATTCCTGGGCTCAAGTGATCCTCCTATATGGCATGATTTGTAATAGCCATGTAATATTCTATTGTCTGAGTAAGAATGGTATGTGTATGTATGTGTGTATGTGTATGTATGTGTGTGTGTGTGTGTGTGTATATATATATATATATATAATATGTACCTATATATTACTGCTTTATGGTTACTTACTATGATAAGAGCTCCTCACACAAATTTATGAAATAAGCATTATTACCCCTTTGTATAGAAAGAAACCAAGGATGAAAAAGACTAAGTGTCTACGCAAGATTAGTGAGCCAAGTAAATGGTAGAGCCAAACTTTAAACTGGGGCTTTTTGATCCTAAAGCCTGTTCTGTGTGCCCCAAAGCTGCTTTAGAAAATATCTTTTAAAGGCTTTGGCAATGTCTTTCAGGGAGAAGCATCTGCCTACATGGCCAGTAGGTAAGGTAGACCCTGCAGTCTAGAGTGCTTTACTGACTGCAGTAGGTATTTGTGTCATCCACCCCCACCAGACTAGGAGGGGGCCCTGGGCACTGAAGTCCAGGCCTAAATGCCTGTGAGCCTGAGACAGGATGGGGAACAGCAGGCTGCAGTCCAATCGAGTTAGTTAAGAGGCAGTCTTTTGGGAGAAATACAGAATAAAAAAGCTAGGTGAATTTTCATTTATCAGATTGAGTAAGATCCAAAAATTGATTACTCACTCTATTGACAAAGCTGTGGGGAAACAGATATTCTTCTACATTGCTGGTGAGAGAACAGATTGCCCCATGGAGGGCATTTGGCAATAGCTGTCAACAGTACAAATGCACATGTTATTTGACCCAGCCATTTCCAGTTTGGGGAATTTATCCCACAAATACACACATGCAGCATGACGGATATACAAGGTTATTCATTCCAGTGTTGTTATAATAGCAAAAGATTGATAGTAACTTAAATGCTCACCAATAAGGGAACTGGTTTAATAGATTATGGAACGTGTTGGTTAATGCTAAATTGCTAAACCACATAAACCCCGTATCTCAGTGGCTTAATACAATAGAAATATGTTTCTTTTTTTGGTGCTGCAATAAAATTTTATTGGTGGACACTAAATTTGAATTACACGTAATTTCCATGTGTCACAAAATATTCTTCTTTTGATTTTTTTTTTTTAAGCATTTAAAAATGTAAAAATCATTCTTGACTTGCAAGTCTTACAAAAAGGGCAATGGGCCAGATTTAGCCTGTGAGCCCTGTTTTAAGTTTTTTTATTATTTCAAAAAAATTCGTGGGATAAGTGTTTTTTGTGGCATAGATGGATTGTATCATCCTCAAGTCAGGGCTTTCAGTGTACTGGTCACCAGAATATAGTGTACATTGTACCCAATAGGTAGCTTTTTATCCCTCACTCCCCTACACACTCCCCCTTCTTAGTTTTCAATGTCCGTTACACCACTTTATGACCATATATATCCCTTATTTAGCTCCCACTTATAAGTGAGAACATGGGGTATTGCTTTTTCCATCCCTGAGATACTTCACTTAGGATAATGATCTCCAGTTCCATCCAAGTTGCAGCAAAAGACGTTATTTCATTCCTTTTTATGACTGAGTAGTACTCCATGCTATATATTAATATATACCACATTTTCTTTATCCACTCCTCAGTTGATGGGCACTTAGGTTGATTCCATATTTTTGCAATTGTGAATTGTGCTGTGATAAACATTCAGGTACAAAAGAAATATTTCTCTCCTACATAAAGTCCAAAATGAGTGCTCCTGAGCAAGAGGTCACCCAAGGATCCAGGCTCCTTTCGTATGTGGCTCCACCATCTTTCATTAATCTGCTGTTTACCTTAAGCCAATGGACTGGGAAAGGGAGTGGAGGTTTGTACAAGAGAGTTTTTATGGACCAGGCCTGGAAGCGGAGATGTCACTTTTGCTCACATTCTATTGGCCAGGACTCTGTCACAAGGCCACAGCTAGACTATTTCCCAGCAGTTAGATGTCCAGGTCCAGGAAGGAAAAGGACAGATTTGGTGATTAGCTAGCTGTCTGTATCAGGGTGAAATCAAATATAGCTGTAAAAAAGGATGAGAAAGTTCTTTATGTACTAACATTGTTATGTTAAAAAGTAAGATACAGGCCAGGTGGTGGCTCATGCCTGTAATCCTAACACTCTGGGAGGCTGAGGCGGGCAGATCGTTTGCGCTTAGGAGTTCGAGACCAGCCTGAGCAAGAGTGAGACCCCGTCTCTACTAAAAATAGAAAGAAATTGGCCAGACAACTAAAAATAGAAAAAATTAGCCAGGCATGGTGGCGCGTGCCTGTAGTCCCAGCTACCTGGGAGGCTGAGGCAGGAGGATCGCTTGAGCCCAGGAGTTTGAGGTTGCTGTGAACTAGGCTGACGCCACGGCACTCTAGCCCAGGCAAGACAGTGAAACTCTGTCCCAAAAAAAAAAAAAAAAAGTAAGATACAGAACTACTTGTTTAAAAAGAGGGGAGAGTATATATTCATGTTTGTTTATGTGTGTGTAAGCAATCTCTACAAGGACATGTAAGGAACTGTTACCTGTTTGGGAGCAGGAAGTTGGCAGCCATGTGGAAATAAATGGGGTATGTGGGAGACTTCTGTATACTTCTGATGTTAGAGGTATAAGAATATTGTCAGCTATAAAATAAAAAAGCTGACGAGGCCATCCAACCAAATTGTTGATCTGAAAGTATGAGCGGAGAGAGAAAATTTAGGTATTAATGTAAAGCCTTGGGATAGAAAGAAACAGCGTAGCAGAGAGAACAGGGCTCAGGGCAGAGGCCGGGCAGCAAGGCCTGGAGAGTTCCCAAGCCCCTTAGCCAGCAGCTCCAGTGGGTTTTTATATAACCAAGCCCTGAGGCTTCTGGGGACAAGCAGAAATAGATACTTGCAGAGCATGTTAGAGGGTGCAGACTCACTCTCTCTTCCTTTGGGCTTTGAATACAAATCAGGACAGATATCCAGAGAGGAAGTAGAGCCTTAGTTCATTTCCACACACGCAGTCCTTGCTCCAGAGCAAAGTGGATGGGCAGCAGGAGCTCCCCCATTCTACCCTCAGCTCGGCCCATGTGTCATCCCCTCCGACCAATTTATGAGGCAGGGGTTCTAGAGGATGGAGGCAGCTCTTATTTGTGACATGCTCATAGACTGATGAGTCGGTGTGGGATCTGACAATTTCTATCTATGTATCTATCTATCTATCTGTCTATCTATTTAGAGACAGGGTTTTGCTCTATTGCTCAGGCTGGAGTGCATTCGTGTGGTCGTAGCTAGGACTATAGGTGCATACTACCAGGCCCACCTAATTTTTAAAAATTTTTTGTAGAGACTGGGGTCTCACTATGCAGCCCAGGCTAGTCTTGAACTCCTGGCCTCTAGCGACCTCAGCCCCCCAAAGCACTGGGATTATAGGCTGAGCCACTGTGCCCAGTCTATCTATTTATTTATTCATAGATATTTGGATGTCTACCCCAGTCCAGGTGTTGTTAGGCAAGATTACAGAAATAAAGATGAGAAACATGGTTCTCAGAACTCCTGCCTACAGAAGGCTGTTCAGTGTAAGGGTTGCCTGACTGGCTGCTCTCCAGTAGGGATGAGGTTCTTAATAGTGTAGTTTTGGTGGGCTCACCCACTCTCTTGTGCCTGTGGCCTCATTGCTTCACTATTTCTTCCCCTTACCTCTGATGAATTCCTAAAAAAGCAGTCCCGAGTTTCTGACTTGGCTAAGTTCTCCATTTTCCTCAGGGCAGCATCGACATGAGCCGCGTGGCTGTGATGGGACATTCATTTGGGGGGGCCACAGCTATTCTGGCTTTGGCCAAGGAGACCCAATTTCGGTGAGTTTCCAGGTGATGCTGCTGCTGTTAGCCCCACACACCATCCATTCATTCAGCAAGTATTCGTCACGCAAGTGTAATGTTCTAGGCACTGTTTGCAGGGCTGGGGATTCAGCAGGGAATGAGAAAACAGGATCTCTGAGTTCATGGAATTATGTTATTGTGGGAGGAGACGGACTAGTAAACAAGCCAACAGATAATAAAATCCCCATCACCAAGCGAAATGAAGAAAATAAAACACGCTAATATGTTAGAGTATCTGGAGACTTCTCAGGGAAAGTAACTTAAGCCAAGACCAGAAAGGCAAAGAAGCAAGGCACGTAAAGGTCTTGAAGATCATTCCAGCTGCAGGAACAGCTCATGCAAAGTCCCTGAGGTGGAGAGAAGCTCACTGTGTTGGTGTGGGGGGAAGGGAGGGGGACACTTAAGATACAATCAGAGAGATAAGCAGGGGCCACATCACGGGGCCTTTTGGCCAGGGTAAGGAAGAGTAGATTTTGTTCTAAATGTAATGGGAAACCATTGAAGGATTTTAAGCAAAGAAAAATCAATCTTGTTTACATTTTAAAAGATCCCTCCGGCTACTGTGTGAGGAATGGATTATAGCAGGACAAGACTGAAAACCTGGAGGCTAGTGAGAAGGAGGCGGTTTCAGAGTCAGGTCAGAGATAATGGAATTGCATGAGGATGGAGCCAAGTGAATGAAGTCAGGATGTGTTGTACAGTTTTCAGGACTTGGTGATGTATGAGGTGAAGGAAAGAGAGGAAATCATGTTTTTCATTTGTGTATCTGTTATTTGAGTGGAAAAGGATTGCTCCTTACTGAGATGGAGAAGACTGGAGAAGCATTTTGGAGGTTGGGGGTGGGGAGGTGGCTGAAGCTTAGGGCCATAGTTTTGCCTTTATGACGTAGTTTTGCTCTTGGCAGCAACGTGGCTTTTCCTGATCTCACATAGCACCTGTGCAATCAGGGCACTGCTTATTTGTTACCTTGTCTATTCTGTCTTCCTGCTGGACTGGGAGCTCCTTGAGAGCAAGAACTCTTGTCATTTATTTCTGTATCTGAAGCACAGGGCTAAGCACATAGTAGGTACTCAGTGAATGCCAAATCAATGATTAGATGAATGAAATGCCATTCTTTGGAACTCGAGTCAGTCACCTGAGAGTAGATCCAGGAGAAGGAGGAGATCTGGTCCTTACTCTTAGGGAGTTTAAAATCTAGAAGGATCTTTGGTGACAGGTAAAAGTGATCCATATCCAAGATCTTAACGGGCTTTCTGAGCCCGTTTAGCCCACCAGAGGGAAGAACTCTGCCCTTTTCCTCCCACCCTGATTATTCTTCCTGGGTTTCTGCGTGGCAGTTCCAAATGTCTGGTCCTGTTCCAGGTGTGCTGTGGCTCTCGATGCTTGGATGTTTCCTCTGGAACGTGACTTTTACCCCAATGCCCGAGGACCTGTGTTCTTTATCAATGCTGAGAAATTCCAGACAGTGGAGAGTGTCAATTTGATGAAGAAGATATGTGCCCAGCATGAACAGTCCAGGATCATAACTGTCCTGTGAGTAAACCCCCAGGTCATAATCCCAGTGTCCTCCCCGTTTTTCTACTCAGCTGTGGCTCCCTTAATTTCTTCTGGAATATCTAGAACTTTCTATTAATAGAATAACTAAATACTTCTGAATTTCAAAATCTTAATTCCTTTAGATTTCCTATCTGTCCCTCTTCTCCACTCAGCTCCACCTACAGTGATTTCTTCAGTAGTTTATGTGACTTTATGACATGACTTACCTGGTGCTTTCTGGGAAAGGGGTATTGTAGGATTGCGTGTTGGAGAGGAAAGAGTGTGGGTCTGGGTGGGTTCAAGAGATCGCTGGCCTCATTTGGGAATTTTATTGAGTCTTTTGAACAGTGTGGATACAGTAGACCCTTGACATTCACCAGATAGATGTTTAGAGACCTTCAGGAATACCTAAATCCACAGATCATGCTAACTTATGTTTTTTCCCATGAACTATCTATATTCTGGCCAAGAGAAACCACCTTCTCTTTGCTTTCATCACCAGCACCGTTGGTTGCTTGTCTTTTGGGAGCCATTTTGCACAGAGTAAAACCATTGTTAGTGGCTTTCAGAAATGTGCCATATGTAGGCGGTTGTGGTGAGCTCCAGGCGCACAGCCGAGCTCTCACTGATTTGCCCCCACCCTGCACTCGAGCCTAAGAGCACACAGGCTTCAGGGACCCCAGCTCCTGTTTCAGCAAAATGACAAGTGACTGCATGCCATGGACCTTCACTGAGGTAGTTGAAATGCCAAATCCAGAGCCCTTGAATGCTAGGTGTCCGCTGGAAAGTGGTTCCCTCCCTCCCTCACTCATCTTGGCCCACGCCGTCCCCTCCCCTTTCGGTTTGATGTGATGGCAGCAGAGCAGGACTTGGACTTTTCCCTAGGTCCTCCTAGTTCAGGAGGGAAAGGAGGGGGGCCCAGGCAGGAAGGGGCACACAAAGGGGATTTAACTACCGGCAATGCACTACTGCAGGATACTCAAGTATCCAATATATTATTTGTATGCCTTAAATAATGCATTTTTTAAAAGTCAGTTTTTCTGCATGATATTGGACAAATACTTTAGCATTTAGATTTTCTTTCCCTCATTGAATCAGCTAGCAAATATAGTTATGAGTGATTTAGCCCAAAATGAACCTAGTGAGCTTTTCGCCTGCAAATTAAATATACTTAGTGTCAAAAGACCTAAGTTCTAGCTCAGAAATCCCCCTTTACATGCACTCACCCTCACTTTTCTGATTATTTAAGTAAAGGCAAGTTGTTCCTCTTCCCTGTTTACGGTGTGGTGCAGTTCTGAAGAAGGAGCTAATATGTTGTGTGAAAGTGCAAAAGTCACTGAGTAAAGCCAGGGCGTAACAGGTTATAATAGCCTAGGAATGGCAGGTGCTGCAGACCTCGCCTCCCGCCCCATCCCCGCTCCAGCTGGTTCAGCATTTTCCCTGCACTGTCGGGCACTGTGGTCTCTCTAGGGCTTGAGCCAGCTTTGAAGCCAGGCACATTCCGGTTCAAAAGCTGCCTTGGGCAGTACATTTCTCTCCTCAGATTCTGTCAAACGGGGAAATACTTCCCTCACAAGGTTGCCGTGAAAATGAAGGGTGATAATGCATGGAGAGCACCTTGTACATAGTAGATGCTTAACAAATACCTGTATGCCCTCGCCTCCAGACCCTACAAGTTGTTTTTCTTTTCCTCTAGTGGTTCTGTTCATCGGAGTCAAACTGACTTTGCTTTTGTGACTGGCAACTTGATCGGTAAATTCTTCTCCAGTCAGAACCGTGGGAGCCTGGACCCCTACAAAGGGCAGGAGGTTGTGGTGCAGGCCATGCTGGCCTTCCTGCAGAAGCACCTCGGTAAGGGGAGAACCAGGGCCATGGAGCAGCAGTGGGGTCCCTTAGGTTTCCCTGCAACACAGTGGTCTGCACTGACAGGTCTGGGACGTGGGAGATTTATGGCAAATGAAAACCTAAGTGAGGAGTTACATAGAATTATAGAAAAAAACACTTAATTGAAAGTGTGGAGACCCTGACTCTGTCTTACCAGCAGAATGACCTTGGCCTAGTCATTTAACCTCTCTAAACCTTGGTTTCTGTACTGTACGTGGAACATTCACCTCTCTCTACTCCACCACCTCTGTCCTAATCCAGACTCATCACTCATCTTACCTGCATTGTGGGGGAAGTTATGATGATACTGGGCTACATTATGGAAGTGTTTTAAAGAAACAAAGTGTGGAAGGATTATGACTAATATCATAAGCCACAGACTAGCTAAAGGGCAAGACCTCCAGAGGTCCCTGGTCCAGCCTCCATCCAAAGGAGATGTCCTCTGTTGCCTTCCCTGCCACACGATTAGGCCCTATCCACCACTGGAAACTTGGATGGTTTTAAGAGTTGATTTATTTATTTTTTTTATTTTTTTTTTTTATTGAGACAGAGTCTCACTCTGTTGCCCTGGCTAGAGTGCCGTGGCGTCAGCGTAGCTCACAGCAACCTCAAACTCCTGGGCTCAAGCGATCCTCCTGCCTCAGCCTCCCAAGTAGCTGGGACTACAGGCATGCGCCACCATGCCCGGCTAATTTTTTCTATATATTTTTAGTTGTCCAATTAATTTCTTTCTAATTTTAGTAGAGACGGGGTCTCGCTCTTGCTCAGGCTGGTCTCGAACTCCTGAGCTCAAACAATCCGCCCGCCTTGGCCTCCCAACATATCTCTTTCTCGTTGTTCCATTCGCCATGTTTTCTTCTGCTCTGTCTTTTCTTTCGCAGATAGCATCTGTTTATTCAGTTTCTACTTCCTCATGACATCACTTGGCTTTAACCACTCACGGCTTGTTCCCTCCACCCTGTGGCTTCCTTTCATCTTCAGCTCCCGTTGCTTGTTGCCGTATACTTTTTGGATTTCCTAGACCAAATTCCCAAGAGAGACAATTTGATTGTATCTACCCATCTTTGCCAGCACATCACAGCCCACTGCCCACCTCTCGACCAGATCTCCCTTCTTGACCCAGGGAGCATGAAGGAGGCTAGCATTATCTGCGTGAGACTGGTCCCTCAGCAGGTGCTGTGCACGGGGCACTTTCCATCAGAAGGAAGCCGGGCTTGCTGGAATGTCTAAGGTCTGACCTAACTCTAACCTAAGAGCAAGAGCTGATACTTTGTAACTCTCCCACCACTTTCCCTGGTTAACCCCTCAAGAGCTACCCAGAGAAGCCTCAGAGGGCACCTGGTAGCTCTTTACATATGTGAAGTCCCCTATGATGTCCTCTCTGAGTTTTCTGTTCATTAGGCTAAATGTCCATGGTACCTCCATGTGTTCCCTGTTCAGTTCCCTGTGTGGCCATTTGTCATCCCCTTCCTTTGGATGCCGTGTTTTTCGGTGCCCCTTTCAAAGTGTGGTGTCCTGACTTGAACATGACGTGCTGGATGGAGTACCTGGTATGGTGGGACAGTCATCTCTGTCCTCTGGACACGAGACTTCTAACCTGAGTGCGTTCACATTTCCCACAAGTACACAACAAATTTGTTTTGGATTGAGTTTGCTTTTTTTTTTTTTTTTAAGATGGGGTCTCACTGTGTTACCCAGGTTGGAGTGCAGCAGCTATTTACAGGCACAGTCATGGCTCACTACAGCTTTAAACTCCTGGGTGCAAGAGATCCTCCCACCTTAGCCTCCTGGGTAGCTGGGACTATAGGCGCACCCCCACGCCCAGCTCGAGATTGCTTTTGAAACATATCTGTCCTATAATGAATGTATTGACTTTTTGAACCTAAATTTGCATCTTTATATTTATACCTGTTTCTTTCATCTTGCATATCGTGAGCCATTATTCCAGCCTGGATTTAGAGACCTGAGGGTCAATAGAGACCTTGGGGCATCTTTCTTCTCACTTGGTAGGAGGGGAATGGATCCATGTCTTAAGACTTTAATGGGCCCGGCGCGGTGGCTCAGGCCTGTAATCCTAGCACTCTGGGAGGCCGAAGCAGGAGGATCGCTTGAGCCCAGGAGTTTGAGGTTGCTGTGAGCTAGGCTGACACCACAGCACTCTAGCTCGGGCAACAGAGTGAGACTCTGTCTCCCAAAAGAAAAAAAAAAAAAAAGACTTTAATGGCACCTGACTACATGGTCCTCGGCCCACTTTCCCTGTTTCCTCTTGGGCTCCACATCATGTAAGAGTTTAAGATTAAAGATGATAGGGGAGCCTACGATAGCATGATTGGGCTTCCTTCAATAGCAGTGCCTAATGAGCTAAAGTATTGATTGCTGGAGACCAGCAGAAGAGGACATGGAAGGTTGGAGAGACTTAGACTGTAGGAAGATTGCTGAAGACTTACTTTATGCCAAGCCTTCTGCTAAGTACTGTAGATATATTATCATATGTAATCCTAGAAACAGTCCTTTCCAGTAGGCACTCTTATTATTAACTCCATTTTATGGATGAGGATACTGAAGCTTAGAAAATTTAGGTAGTTTGTCTACGGCCATACCACCCTGAACGTGCCCGATCTTATCTGATCTTGGAAGCTAAGCAGGATCGGGCCTGGTTAGTACTTGGATGAGAGAAAATTTAGGTAATTTGATCAGGGTTGTCTGGTTATTAAGCAGCAAAGCCAATATGCAACCCAAGCTGTGCAGTTCCAAAGCCCATGAGCTTAATTGCTGTGCTATACTGTCGGTGACTCTGATGACAATTCAGAGGGATAAGTTCCATGACCACAGTATGCACTCAGTTTTAGGGAGACACAGAGGACAGGTGCTCTGACAGGAGGAGAAGAAGAGCCTGGAAAGGGGAGGCTTCCTAGACAACACTTGCCTTTAATTTTAATAGATGTGCTGGGTGTGGTGGCTCACGCCTATAATTGTAGCACTCTGGGAGGTCGAGATGGGAGGATTGCTTGAGGCCAGGAGTTCAAGACCAGCATGAATAAAAGTAAGACCTGGTCTCTATAAAAAATAGAGAAATTAGCCCAGCGTAGTAGCATATATCTGTAGTCCCAGCTACTCGGGAGGCCGAGGCAGGAGAATCACTTGAGCCCAGAAATTTGAGGTTGCTGTGAGCTATGATGATGCCACTGCACTCTAGCCAGGGCAACAGAGTGAGACTCTTTCTTAAAAAAAAAAAAAAAAAAGAATGAGGAGGGTTCACAAGCATGGAAGGGCCAAGTCTCTTCTCAACAGAAGGCACAAAGGCTCAAGTGGGCCTGGTCAGTTTTGGGAAACTGTTTAGTATATCTGGAGCTCAGGACAGTAAGTCGCTGAAAGACAAAGAAGTGGAAAAGCCAGCTGTAGAAGCCTATGTATTTGCTAAAGTAAGTTTGAATTTTGTTCCGTGGCTATAAGGAGGCCTTGGTGGGTTCTGAGCAGGAGAACGTCATGATTAGGCTTGTATTTGCAGTCTGGCTGCATGTGGAGGCAAGTAAGAGGCAGAGAGCTCAGGTAAGAGGCTCTTACAGTAAGCCAGGTTAGATAAGAGACAAGATAGTCTGAAAAAAGGCCTAATTAGCTTTTTTTTTTTTTAAGAGGCAGGTCTCGCTCTGTTACCCAGGCTGGAGTGCAGTGGCACAATCATAGCTCACTGCAGCCTCAAACTCCTGAGCTCAAACGATCCCCTTGCCTCAGTCTCCTGAGTAGCTGGGACTACAGGCGTGTGCCACCATACCGGCTAATTATTTTTTAAAATTTTTTGTAGAGACAGGGTCTTGCTGTATTACCCAGGCCGCTCTGAAACTCCTGGCCTGAAGCCATCCTCCTGCCTCGGCCTTCCAAAGGTCTGGAATTACAGGCATGAGCCACCACACCCAGCAATAATTAGCTTCATTTCTTATTTTATTTTATTTATTAATTTTTTAGAAAGAGTCTTGCTCTGCCACCCTGGGTAGAGTGCTGTAGCATCATGATAGGTCGCTGCAAACTCAAACTCCTGGACTCAAGGGATCCCTCTGCTTCAGCCTCCCGAGTAGTCAGTGCTACAGGTGGGCGCCACTGTGTCTGGCTAATTTTTCTATTTTTGGTAGAGACAGGGTCTCGCTCTTGCTCAGGCTGGTCTTGAACTCCTGAGCTCAAGCAATTCTCCCACCTCGGCCTCCCGAATGCTAGAATTACAGGCGTGAGCCACCGCGCCTGGCCCATAATTAGCTTTAAAAAGAGAGAAAAGCTTTTCCGTGGCTACATAATATATTGTCACATGGGAAACTAAAATAGACTGTGGGTGGCTCAGCTGAACCTCTACTCCTCTGAGAGTGCTTATTCTGCTGATACAGGGATAGTATCTTCTGTTAAGATTGGTGTTTGCGGCCGGGCGCAGTGGCTCACGCCTGTAATCCTAGCTCTCTGGGAGGCCGAGGCGGGCGGATTGTTTGAGCTCAGGAGTTCGAAACCAGCCTGAGCAAGAGCGAGACCCCGTCTCTACTAAAATTAGAAAGAAATTAATTGGACAACTAAGAATATATGGAAAAAATGAGCCGGGCATGGTGGCACATGCCTGTAGTCCCAGCTACTCGGGAGGCTGAGGCAGGAGGATCACTTGAGCCCAGGAGTTTGAGGTTGCTGTGAGCTAGGATGACGCCACGGGACTCTAGCCTGGGCAACACAGTGAGACTCTGGCTCAAAAAAAAAAAAAAAAAAGATTGGTGTTTGCTTAATATTAACTACATGCGGCTCCTGTCTCCACCTACGCATCTTCTCTCGAGTCTCCTCAAAAACCGTTTCACACCTTCTCCTCTCTGCTCAAACCTCTAACACCTCTTCCCTTATCCTGTCTCTCAGCTAGTTAACTTTGCCTGCCATTTTACTGAGAAGATGGAAGCCGCCAGCACTTCCTCAGATTCCCAGCACCGTGTCTCCCCTTCTCGTGTAGACAGCTTTCCCTGCAGTTTGACCAGGACCCGCCCCTCCGCGCCATCCATCCTCTCTCTGCTTGAGGTGACAGCGCCAGCGATTTTTCCTCTTCACTTTAGATCATCAGTTCTTCCCTCTCTACTGGCTCATTTCATGCTGAAGTTTCTCTTATCTTAAAAGAAAAATCTCTCTTGACCTCAGTGTTCCCTCCTTTCGGTGTTCCCGACACAGCAAAGCTGCCCAAAGGAATGTCTCTTCACTCTTTCTAACCCCTCTCTTCCCGTTCTCTCTCACTCCCCGCCAGTCAGCCTTTCGCCCACTGCTCTCCATCCAAGCTGCACCGTTGGGTCTCTGAAGCCCCTCACAACGCCAGCTCCCACAGTCAGTTCTCCGCGCTCATCTTCCTGGCACCCGCAACAGCTTCTGATGGAGTTGCCAACGCCGTCCTCTGGGAGTCCCCGTCTTCCCTTCCCAGACACCACATGGGATTTTCCCCCGCCTCGATGCCTGTTCCTCTTCCATCTGCTTTGCTCCTTCCGGGGCTCAGTGCTTGGACCTCTTTTCCTGGATCGAATGCCACCAACATCAGCTTTATCTAACCCTCTGCTAACCTACTCAGCGTCTCTACCAGGACACCTAATACAGACATTGCAAATGAAACCAATTTCTATTGCGCTCTTTCCCTGCTTAGTTGATAGCAACGCCGTCCTTCCAGTTACTCAGGTCAGTCTTCATCCTTGTCTCTTCTCCCACACTGCCCATCCATTCCGTCAGACAAGCCTATTGGCTCTGCCTTCAGAACATGTATGGAATCTAAGGCTGGACACGATAGCTCATGCCTGTAATCCCAGCACTTTGGGAGACTGAGGCAGGAGGATTGTTTGAGGCCAGGAGTTTGAGACCAGCCTGGGCAACATAGTGAGACTCTGTCTCTACGGAAAAAAAAAAAAAATTTTTTTTTAAATTAGCCAGGCATGGTGGTGCACACCTGTAGTCCCAGCTACCTGGGAGGCTGAGGTGAGGAGAGGATCGCTTGAGCCCAGGAGTTTGAGGTTGCACTGAGCTATTATGAGGTTGTACTGCACTCCAGCCTAGGTGAGAGAGTGAGATCCTATCTCAAAAAAACCACAAAAAAAAATATGGAATCTAATTACTTGTCACCACCCCCACAGCCACCATCCTGTCTGAGTCATCTCTCACCCAAATTACCGCAATAGTTTGCTAACTCGTCTCCCAGCTGCCACCTCTCTCACCTCCTCCAATGGTATTTTCTTAATAGAGCAGCCAGAGTAATCTTTTTAGGAAGTTAAGTCAGATCTTGTCACTCCTCTGCTCACAGTTCTCCAGTAGCTCCCAGTTTCCTTGAAAGTCAAAGCCAGAGTCCATTGTCCTATGTGATGTGGCCCTTCAGACCCTTCCGGCCTCCTTTCCCACTGTTCTTCCCTTGGCTCACCTCACTGTCACCAGGTGAGCTCCAGTGCTCCAGGCACACTGCTTCCTCGGCCTGCGACATTCCTCCCAGATAGTCACGTGGCTCCCTCCCACCTTCTTCAAGTCTTGGCTCAAATCTCACCTTCTCAGGGAGGCCCACCCTGACCCGCCTTTTTATTTATTCGTTTATTTATTTTTTATAGACAGAGTCTCACTCTGTCACCCAGGCTGGCATGATCATAGCTCACTGCAGCCTTGAACTCATGGGCTCAAGTGATCCTCCTGCCTCAGCCTCCTGAGTAGCTAGGACTGTAGGCATGCACCACCACGCCCAGATAATTTTTTAAATTTTTGTAGAGACAAGGTCTCTCTATGTTGCCTAAGATGGTCTTGAACTCCTGGCCTCAAGTGATCCTCCTGCCCTGGCCTCCCAAAATGCTGGGATTATAGGTGTGAGCCACCCTGTCCAGCTGACCACCCCTTTTAAAACATTGTACCCTCCTTTCCTCCCTTCACCCCACACCCAGCCACCACCACCACTTCCCTTATCCGACTCTGTTTTTTTTTTTCCTTAGCACTTATCCCCTTTTCACATCCTGTATCGTTTCTCATGTTTATTGTCTGTCTCTGCCCACTGGACTATGAGCTCTCTGAGGATAGGGGTTTCTGTTTCGTTCGTGGATATATTTTTAGCTCCAAGAACAGAGTATGGCACATAGTGAGTGTGTCCAATATTTTTTGAATTAATGACTCTGTAGTACTTATGTGTCGAGGACCTTTCCCATGCCAGGTTCCTGTCAGGGCACTGGGGACCTAAAGATCAATGAGAGTGGTCCCTGCCTTCTGTCCCAGGGTCTGTTGGTTCTGAGGAAGGACATCATTTGACTGCTTAGCTGTGCCCTACTCCCTCGGCCCAAGGGCTTAGACCCTTTCTGCCTGTTCCTGCCACCTAATTAGACCCATCTGCCCATGATGCCAGGGTCAGCTCTTGAGTCATGTCTGGTGTTATGCTGCTTCACGATGGTGCCACCTTGTTGCTTCTTCCCTTCACCAAGGTGGCACTGGATTTGCATCCACTGGCTGGGGTACCAGGGTCCTTGTCTTGCTTAGCAATCTCCTTGATCCTCCAAGTAGACTTTTCATTTTCTCTGCCTTTCTGACCTGGGTTTGATTTCTTCATTACTACTTACCAGCTGTCATGACCCAGGTAGCTTCCCTGAGCCTCAGTTTCCTCAGCTATAAAATAGAGCCAGTAACAGTACTTAGCTCATAGGGACATTGTGATAATTAAACAAAACCGTGAATGTAAAGCATCTAGCACAATCCCTAGAATTAATTCTCCTTCGATAATTGTGACTCTCTGTTATTGTTATCATTACTGAGTTGTTATGGATTAAGTCAGTCATTTGTAGTATAAAGCACGTGTATAAAGGCACTGGATAAATAGTAGTTGTCATTACTGCCACCACCATCAAAACCACTATAACCAGTCCTTTTGGTATTGCAGGTGCTCCTCTCTCTAGGTGACCCACTAAATCTCTGATAGCTACTCTTTGACCTAACCTTACAATGATTTGTCTAATTTTTCTGTTTTTTTCCCATTCAGACCTACAAGAGAACTATGATCAATGGAACAATCTCATTGAAGGCATTGGACCATCACTCACACCAGGGGCCCCACACCATCTGTCCAGCCTGTAGGCACAGCTGGGCATTTGCAAAAGGTCACTTGAGCTGAGTTTCCATCTGGGGACTGCCCAGGGGCACCCCAAACCTGCTATCAGGGCGCGGTCAACATGATACTTTTTCACAGATTAAGAGGATATAATCACACTGCTGATTGGATAACTGGGTACTTTGATCTTGGACTTGTTGATCTTAAACTAGGATCACTTAGAACTAGGATCACTTACTGATTGGTGAACTGACTTTCTGGGACTTGAGCCTGAGGGTATGGGGAACTAGCAGTGGGGTGGAGCCAGCCCTGTGAAGCCTGCATGTTGAGACCAGCATTGAGCGTTGCCTCTTTCGTGGAAGAGATGGAGGCAGAGGACGGAGCGAAAATCCCAGCCTTCAGGGACTTTAGCCCGCCTGGCACTGTCTCTCCCTACCTCTCCACCTTCTGCCTCCCCAGGGCCCCTTGGGGAAGTGTGAGCACTTTAGGTGGCTCTCCAGGATGTGGACCATTATCAGATTTTCTATTTATTTTCAGGTCTTCTAATCACATGAAACACAGTGCCATTTAGTGAGTACTAAGTTGTGAGCCCACAGGGGGCAGACAGCATGTTTCGCAGCACAGAGAGAGAAGCTGGGGTACAGAGGGGTACCTCAGACGCTCTGGATGTCTTTGGGGCTTTGCTAAAAATGTATCTTGACAGGAAACAACACAAGTAGGTTAAGGTGGGGAAGACAGAATAACAGTGTCAAACAGCCTTGTGTACAGGCCCTTGCCACAAGAGGGAGGTAGTTTGGTCAGCTAAAACCCAGGAGGCCGCCCCTAGAGAGGTCTAGGAACACCTTGGTCTTGCCTCTTACCTCAGATACTAGGAACCTCCAACTTGCTCAGAATCAGGGTGTTTTAGTTGTTTTCTGACTCTGAGGCCCTCATCCCAAATTTAAGTCAGGATACAGACCAGATTTCCATTCTGTTGCATTTATAATATGAATGCTATTAATATTTACATTTGCCTGATGTTATGTTGGAATATTCTGTCTATTAAATCTGCATTAGAACAAGCTGGGGAGCCATCTGGAAGTGACTTTTCCTTCTGTCTTTCAATGTTCATGTACCACTTGGGCCCATGTGGACAAAAAGTTGGAAAGGAAAGGAAGTCTTCCAAGGGATCTAGTTCAAAGCTGTTTGGGAACATTATCCTGAAACTCCCCTCCTCGTTACTCAAGACTTCTCACCTCAGTCCAAGTAGGGGACCCCAGAGAAGGCAAGAGCAAAAGGGAAATGCATCTGTACACCACAGGTCCAAGATCAGGGCCACCAAAGCAGGCTGGGACTGGATCTCCACCTCCCAACAGCTGGTCTTTCTAAGAGGTCAAACACCAGATCCAACTGAGGCTGTGGACTGCGGGAGGATCTATGAATTGCATGATATGGAGCATAAGAAAGATACCATTAAAGCCCTGAACTCTAGAGTTATGTAGCCTGATTTTCAGTCCTGGCTCCACTACTGCCAACTGGGTAAATTTGAGCAAATTGTATTCTCTTTTTAATCTCAGTTCCTGCATTTCTAAAATGAGGGTCTGCCTATGAATAGTTATGAGGATTAAATGAGAGGATGTATAACCCATGGGTTTTTTAAAAGTATGTTTCCTACTTTCCAAACATGAAGTTTTTCTAGTTATCTTATAGTTATTATTTTCTAGCTTAATCACTTTGTGGTCAGAGAAAATGACCCATATGGTTTCCATCCTTCGAGATTTGTTGAAACTTGCTTATTGGCCCAGTGTGAGGTCAGTGTTGTAAATGTGCCACGTATGCTTAAAAAGACTGTAGTTCTGAAGTTGTTGGCTTGCTCTTTTACTCAAGAACACATCACAGATTTCCTTCTATGAGAGCACATACAGATAGATAATGGGGCCTTCCAATCCCCACATGGGGACCAGAGCCTCCAGCACTCACAGATCCAGCCCTAGGCCAACCCCGAATGTGTGCCACCCTTGGGCTGGTTCTAGAAACGATGAGGGGCCAGTTCTGGTAGCAGTAGCATGTGAGACCCAGCTTCTACCTTAGCCCCATAAATAATGCAGGTATTATTTATTTATTTATTTTTGAGATAGAGTCTTGCTCTGTCACCCAGGTTGGAGTACAGTGGGATGATCATAGCTTGCTGCAACCTTGAACTCCCAAGCTCAAGTGATCCTTTGGCCTCAGCCTCCCAAGTAGCTGGAACTAAAGGGGCACGCCACCATGCCTGGCTACTTTTTCTTATTTTTTGTACACATGGGGTCTCGCTGTGTTGCCCAGGCTGGCCTTGAACTCCTGGCCTCAAGTGATCTTCCTGACTCAACATCCCAAAGTGCTGGGATTACAGATGTGAGCCACTGTGCCTGGCCAATGCAGGTATATTTTATAAACCACTGAATAAGGAGACCTGGAGCCTCCTTAAAGAAGACAGAAACTGGATCCCTTTCCTCCATTGAGTTATGAGCTGGTAATGACTCATTTACCCAGCAACATTGGAGCAGGTGAACTTTCCACGTAATTGAAAATTATCCTTCAAGCCACAAAGTATAATATTGACTATCATGGATGGTAATTTTCCAAAAAGTTAACACATACTTTTTAATCAAAGTGAACTGACTTCATTTAACATTTCGGGATGTTCCAGCCAGGTTAGACTAGATTATATGGTGGTAATAACCCCAAAAAGCAACAAAAATTCATTTCTTGCCCATGCTACTTGTCCTCTGTGGGTCAGTTGTAGGCTCCGCTCTGGTCATGTTTATCCTCCCTCTGGGACCCAGGCTGGTGGAGTCGCCACTGTCTCGAAGTGTTGCTGGTTACCGTGATGGAGCCAGAAGAAAGCGTGAGGAAGCTCCTACTGGCTCTGAAAGCTTCTGCCCAGAAGTGACGCTCATTATTTCTGTTCACATTTCATAAGCCAAAGTATGTCATCTGGCCATTGCTAACATCCCGTGTCATCCCAAGAGAGCCAAAATATTTGTGCCCAGGTCTCATGTCAGAGAAGCGGTGCCCTCTGGTCTGTGAAGCTGTGGACAGCTGTTCGCACCACACTGCGTGGCCCCAGCCACTACCCTTTCAGTTCTTTTGATTGCTGTGCAGAGTTTATGTTGTCTTCACTGTGGCCAGGCTGCCAGCCATCACTCTTTACTGCCTTTAATGTGCCAGCCTCTCAGCTGACCTCCCTGCTCACTTCAAGTTTGTGACTTCTGAAGTGCAATGCACTGAGAAATCAGCCACATTGTATAAAACTGTGTCTAAAGGAAAACTAGGTAGTCACTAAGAGAGGGCTTTAGGGTCTGTCCTGCAGCTAAAGTACATTGGCTTTAGTGCATGGACTTTGTAATCCTTCCTCTGACTGCTCAGGAAGGGTATCCCAAGACCTTTGGTCCTTCATTCTAGTTTTTGGTCAGTTTCCAGGGAATGGAAGGACACCAGATAAAATGCCTTTTCGATAAGCAAGGTAATTCTGATGCACACTGGCATGTGCTGATAAACTGCTGAATCTTTTCCAAAAAGAGGACATCTTGGGTCTTGGGTTTCTTCTGCATTTTCTCATTCCCCATCCCGGAGGCCTAGCGGTATATTGTGAAGTTTCTATGCGTGGGATGGTCTGTCAGGAAGGAAGGTGAGCAAATATCCCTCCCAGGTCCTGGACTTGTCAGGCTAAGGCTGGTTGGGTTCTTGCTGTGTCCCCAACACAGTCCTCGATCCCCTTTCCACTGTGGGTCCTGACACAGCTGCCCCTCTCGGCCATCATCAGAAAGACTACTGGGCTCTCAAAATGTCAAATTATGCTCTCCAACACCTCGTCTCAACCTTGTGGGGACCTTCATCTGCCCCCTTTTTCTTCTGGAGAAGTCACACAAAGCGACAGAGGGACCACAAAGGCCGTTCTCTATACTTGGGACTCCTCATTAGGAAACCCACTCTCTGTCCCACCACAGCCAGGTGCAGAGGCCAGGTGACCCTGGCCATAACTGCATGGCACAATGACAATTATGGAGGTGATAGCTGTAATAGCCAATGTTTATTGGGCCCTTACTGTGTGTCAGAGACTGAGCTCTGTGCTTCTCACAGTGACCCCAGAGGACGGGTGGCACGAGTCTCATTGTACATACGAGGAAACAGGCTTGGAGAAGTGATTTCATCAGGTTCTTGCAGCAAGAATTTGCCAAAGCTGGAACTTCAGCATCAAAAACTGTGCTGTCGTTCCTAATGTGCATACTTGGTTTTGCTCTTTCCCCCCATTTCTTCAAACTGTTAGGGTGTGGGGGCTGTAATTTCGTGATAGATTGACTCAAAAACATCAAAATCTCCAGCAGCTGCTATATGACCTGCATTGGGTTTCAGTGATCTCTTCAGCGCTATTGAGAAATGGGTTGTGGGGGAGAGCTGAGTTTCTAGGTACTTGGTCAATTTGATAAACAGGGAACGGAGGTCAGGGAGTAAGAACGTAGTCTTTGAAATGAGACAACTCCAACACAGCCCTGTGACTTTATGCTAGTTTATTAACTTCCATGACCTTCAGTTTTCTTAATCGTAAAATGGAAATTCTAATAGGATTCTAATAGCGCTTCGCACAGTGTCTATATTAAGGGCTTAGTAAACATTAGCTATTGCCGGTCTTGTTTGGTCCTTTTTATATACTTGTAGGTTAGATGTAATTTACCCTTGCACTAAATGGCCCAGTGGTCTTGGCCTAAGTTCTTATTCCATCTTCTTTTTTTTTTGAGACAGAGTCTCACTCTATTGCCTGGGCTGGAGTGCCGTGGCGTCAGCCTAGCTCACAGCAACCTCAAACTCCTGGGCTCGAGCGATCCTCCTGCCTCAGCCTCCCAAGTAGCTGGGACTACAGACATGCGCCACCGTGCCCGGCTAATTTTTTCTGTTTTTAGTTGTTTTGGCTAATTTCTTTCTATTTATAGTAGAGATGGGGTCTCACTCTTGCTCAGGCTGGTCTCCAACTCCTGAGCTCAAGCAATCCTCCCTCCTCGGCCTCCCAGAGTGCTAGGATTACAGGTGTGAGCCACCGCGCCCGACCTTATTCCATCTTCTAACGTTTCACAGTTACCACCCTCACGTGGACCCTCCTAACTGCCACCCAACTACCACCATTGTGTCTCCATGTCAAGGTGGAGCTAGGTGAGAGACAGTTTCCCATTCTCTTTGCTCCAATTTCCCTGCTCCCCACATCAAAAATCAAAATTCCCACCCTAGTTCTAGCCTTGCAGGCTCTCTTTACTACCAGAAAGAGTCCACACTCTTAGGTTCTAGTTGGGGTTTTAATTTCACACCTGATCATCCAAACACATCTATGTACCAGGTGCAAACTCAAGGTCCTAAAATATCCAGTGGGAGAAGCGAGTAGCTCTGTGTAAAGGCTGGCCACAGGGCGGGGCGGGGATGGGGGGTTGCAGGAGAGGCTGGCTCTGGCTGGGGTAGGGGGTCTAAAGTGCCAGAGACCTCAGGGGAAACCCGAGGCCTGCGAATGGCTATGAATTGCCTCTACACAGCTCTCTCCTCACTGCCTATCAGATTTCCTGCCAAGCCGTCCTGTCCTTCACTCTCTGTGGTTCTCACACCCAGCCCGTCCTTTCCCTCTGGCTCAAGTCTCTGTCAGCTCACCCCAGACTGTGATCTCTCCTTCCCTCCTGCATGCTGCTGCCAGATCTGCCTGAAATACCACGTCTGTATTCATATGCCAGCCCGGCAAGGGGGTCTGATGGAAGGAAAACCAGACTGTTGTCTGGAGCCCTGGGTTCTTTTTTTCATTTATTTTTAATTAATTTATTTATTTTTAGCACTGATTATGCAGAACAAGCCCTGGGTTCTTGACTGTCACCCTCTCTTGCTCTGTGACCTCAAATTTGTTGGGGAGGGAAGCAGGTGACGGGGGATGTTCCTCTTTTGACTCCAGCTTCAATGTTCCTTTGGTCCTGGAATTTCGTGCCTGTCATTGAGTTGTCAAGAATCTCCAGGATTCCCCTTCCCGTAGAATCTCACCTCACTCCTCATTCTGTGTGGCTTCGTCCCTCCCCTCCTGTCCTCCGCTTCCTACCGTGGGCTCTTCTTTTTCCACAGTCCCCTGTGCCCACCCTTTCCCCAGGGAGACAGTTGGGCCCTTGCTCACAGGGCTGCTCTCGCCTGCAGGGCCTCCCCGCCTAGGCTCTGCGAATCCACATCCCGCCAATGCTTTAGGCCCACCTCTCCCATAAAGCCTTCTTGATTAAATCAAATTCAACTAACATTTGATCTCTTGGCCTCCTGCTCCCCAAGAGAAATCCAGTCTGTGCTGTGTTTAGCACTGCCCTATATCACTTTATTCCGGGAGCGGGGCCCATCTGTTGGGCGGGAAAGAGCATCCTCCTGTTGAGTGACGTGGGGGGCAAGGATGCCTCCCCTCTGCCCCACACCACCTCCTGCTCCCCAGCCGGCCCCGGAACAGCTGGGGTTCGCCCAGCCCTCAGATGCCTCCAGCTGCCTCTGCTTCCTCTTCTTTTGGTTTCCCCAGATCCCAGCTGTGGGGCCAGAGCAGAGCGAC